TGTGTAAAAGAAAAAGTAAAGTCAAACTGAGATCAAAAAAGTGTTATAGGTGCTAACAAATAAAAAATTTCATACCTCTGGTAATTTTCTTTGATTTTGTTTTTGACTCAGAACACTATTGAATCTGGTGTACTTTAACATACCATTGGTAAAACAATCAGAAGTGATTAAAGTACAGAATTTAGGTATCATGTACAGAATATCTGTCCCTGCATCAGTGACTACTTAGAAGATCAGATACTATGTTGTTGTTGTTGGTTGTTAGTCCCCTACCGGTTTACCGGAGGGGACTTTAGGTTTACCCTCCGTCCGTCCGTCCGTCTGTCCGTCCGTCCGTCTGTCTGTCAGTCCGTCCGTCCACAAAACTGGATCCCGCGATAACTTGAAAAGTACTGAAAATATTTTTATGAAACTTGATATATGGATAGATGGCAGTATGGAGATTATGCACGTCTTTTTCTTTTCTTCCTATGTTCAAAATTCTGGTTGCTATGGCAACAAATAGGCTGAAAATATGGCAAATTTTACACATAAACTGGATCCAGTGATAACGCAAAAAGTACTGGAAATATTTTTATGAAACTTGATATATATGGATAGATGGCAGTATGGAGATTATGCACGTCTTTTTCTTTTCTTCCTATGTTGAAAATTCTGGTTGCTATGGCAACAAATAGACTGAAAATATGGCAATTTGTACACATAAACTGGATCCAGTGTTAACGCAAAAAGTAATAGAAATATTTTTATGAAATTTGTAATATGTGTAGATGGCAGTATGGAGATTATACACGTCTTTTTCTTTTCTTCCTATGTTGAAAATTCAGGTTGCTATGGCAACACATAGACTGAAAATATGGCAAATTGTACACATAAACTGAATCCAGTGGTAACTCAAAAAGTACTGGAAATATTTTTATGAAACTTGACATATGGGTAGATGGCAATCTTGAGATTATGCAGGTCTTATCAGTTCCCCCTATTTTGAAAAAATATTGGTTGCCTTGGCAACAAATAGGCTTAAAACATGACAAATATAACAATATTTGTGACTAGTCAAAAAGAGCTGAAACTTTTTATGAAATTGCATCTTTAATTCCAGAGTTATCTCCTCTTTAAGAATTTTGCTTTTTAAAATGTTATATTTTGGTAACAGGGATGTTTCAAATATTAACTTTAGAGTGTCCTTCAGTTCGTCTGTCTGTCTGTTCATAAAAACTTTTTCCTGTGATCACTTTTAAAGAACATTTCCAACAAATTTACTTAAAATAGAGAAAAATTTACACATTAGTGAATGGCCAATTGCCCTTCAGAATGCTGATGGGGTTCTATCCGGTAGGGGACTTATGGATTGCTTGCAATACTATGATAATTGCTTGTTTTTTATGCCCCCGCCATGTAATGGCCGGGGCATATAGTGTTACCCTGTTCCGTCATTCCGTCCTTCCATCCTTCCGTCATTCTGTCATTCCGTCATCATCAGTTTCCGTTCATTATCTTAAGAACGGTTGCACACATTCAACTCAAATTTGACATATGGATATGTCATGAGAAAATACAGGTCAAGTTCAAGTTCGAATTTGGTCGTGGTTCGATGATTTTTGGCAGAGTTATGCCCCTTTTACTTTGAAAATAATATGAAATTTTCAGTTTCCGTTCATTATCTCCCCAAAGGTACAACACATTCAACTCAAACTTGACATATGGATGTGTCAAAGGAATGTGCAGGTCAAGTTCAAATTTGGTCATGGTTCAATGATTATTGTCAGAGTTATGCCCCTTTCACTTTGAAAGTAATATGAAATTTTCATTTTCCGTTTATTATCTCCCCAATGGTGCAACACATTCAACTCAAATTTGACATATGGATATGTTTTTGGAATGCCCAGGTCAAGTTTGAGTTTGGTCATGGTTCAATGATTTTTGGCAGAGTAATGCCCCTTTTACTTTGAAAATAATATGAAATTTACAGTTTCTGTTCATTATCTACCAAACAGTGTTACATATTCAACTTAAATTTGACATATGGATATGTCAAACGAATGGGCAGGTCAAGTTGGAATTTATAAGCAGTTTAAGTTTGAATTTGGTTGTAGTTCAATGATTTAAGACAAACTTATCTTTCCTGAATGTTGGAAAAATTTTGAACTTTCAGCACTCTTACTTTTAGCCATTATTTTGGCTACAAATATGCAATATGCTATTTTTAAAAGGTTTAGACTGAATAATTTCAGTGCCTTGAACATTGTATGAAAATGGTTTGTGTTAACATTGAAAAGTTTTAAGGGCTTTGAACTTAAAATGAAAAAAATAATTAATGCACCATCTGAAATTTTGGCTGCATGCGGGGGCATCCGTGGCATGATGACACATTTCTAGTTTTTAGCTCACCTTGCACAAAGTGCAGGTGAGCTTTTAGGATGGCCAACCAAATGGCGTCCGTCGTCTGTCGTCCGTCCACATTTTAAATATTCTAAGGACATCTTCTATGATACCGCAAGGCCAATGTTAATGAAACTTGGCAGGAATACTCTTTGTATGAAGCTCTATCAAGATTGTTCAAAGAATTCCATTTCATGCAGAACTCTGGTTGCCATGGCAACCGAAAGAAAAATCTTTAAATATCTTCTTTTAAAGAACCGTAAGAGCTAGAGCTTAGATATTTGGCATGAAACATCTTATAATGAGTGTCTACCAAGTTTGTTCAAATAAAAGCCCTAGGGTCAAAATTGGGCCCGCCCCAGGGGGTCATTGATTTTCCCTATATGCATATAGTAAAAACTTAAAAATCTTCTTTTAAAGAACCCAAAGAGCTAGAGCTAAGATATTTGGCATGAAACATCTTCTAGTGAGTGTCTACCAAGTTTGTTCAAATAAAAGCCCTGAGGTCAAAATTGGCCCTGCCCCAGGGGGTCATAGATTTTCCCTATATGCATATAGTAAAAACTTAAAAAATCTTCTTTTAAAGAACCCAAAGAGCTAGAGCTAAGATATTTGACATGAAATATCTTCTAGTGAGTGTCTACCAAGTTTGTTCAAATAAAAGCCCTGGGGTCAAAATTGGCCCCACCCCGGGGGGTCATTGATTTTCCCTATATGCATATAGTAAAAACTTAAAAAATCTTCTTTTAAAGAACCGTAAGAGCTAGAGCTTAGATATTTGGCATGAAACATCTTCTAGTGAATGTCTACCAAGTTTGTTCAAATAAAAGCCCTGGGGTCAAAATTGGCCCTGTCCCAGGGGGTCATAGATTTTCCCTATATGCATATAGTAAAAACTTAAAAAATCTTCTTTTAATGAACCCAAAGAGCTAGAGCTAAGATATTTAGCATGAAACATCTTCTAATGAGTGTCTACCAAGTTTGTTCAAATAAAAGCCCTGGGGTCAAAATTGGCCCCGCCCCAGGGGGTCATTGATTTTCCCTATATGCATATAGTAAAAACTTAAAAATCTTCTTTTAAAGAACCCAAAGAGCTAGAGCTAAGATATTTAGCATGAAACATGTTCTAATGGGTGTCTACCAAGTATGTTCAAATAAAAGCCCTGGGGTCAAAAACTGGCCCTGCCCCGGGGTCATTGATTTTCCTTATATGTGTATAGCAAAAACTTAAAAATCTTCTTTGAAAAAACCCAAATAGCTTGAGTTTAGCTATTATACATGAAACATTTTTAAGTAAATATCTACAAAGTTTGTTCAAATAAAAGCCCGGGGGTCAAAACTGGCCCTGCCCCAGGGGTGTCATTGTTTTTAACTATATGTGTATAGTAAAAACTTAAAAATCTTCTTTTAAAAAAACCCAATGAGCTAGAACTTAGATGTTTAGCATGAAACATCTTCTTATGGGTGTCTACCAAGTCTGTTCAAATAAAAGCCCTTGGGTAAAAATTGACCCGGGGGGGGGGGGGGGGCTATATACAGGTGAGCGACCTCAGGGCCATCATGGCCAGCCATCATGGCCCTCTTGTTTTAAGAAAGATACCCATTCTTAGCCATATCTTACGTGCCATATCTTACGTGCCATATCTTACGTGCCATATCTTACGTATGGTAAATTGGATTGTTATAAAACATATTGTTATATGGAAATGATGCTCATCATATACTGTTTAAATCTCCCTGTGCATTTTCATGTTGCAGCCCATTGTAAAATATAGATAGGCATTATTAAAGGAAAATTTAAGCCAATCTCTATACTAATATACATAATATACGATGTACCAGTACATGATTTTCAACTTTTTTGGCATGGATGTGTTTTACAGTAAGAAAATAATGGACATTAAATAACATAACATAAATTGATTGGGCTTTATATCGTTAATATTATAATTACAAAATGTATTTAAAAAAATACATTTTTTTTCTATATATATACTACTTAGATGTTTGCGTGTAATAAATTGTATTGTAATAATGAACATTAAATAACGTAACAATACAATGGTTGAGATTTGCATCATACTAAGTAAAGATATAAAATGTATCAAATATATGTTCATATATTATACTTAAACATTTCCATCTAAAAAGTTTTACTGTATAGTGGAGGATATCATTTTAACAAATTTCTTTGTTTACAAGCTTCAGGTACAAATAATCATTTAAGATGCTAATTTTGATAATGAAATACCAGAATCTCAAGCAATCCCACGAAGTGATTAATAGACAACTCGAAGATTGTCATAGTTGTAAACAAATGTAGGAGCTAAGGAAGTGTCTGAACCAATTCCTGTAGCAAACACGTTTGTTATGCAACAGTGATAATTTGATGTTTTAATTTTATGTTCAAAATTTCAGGCAGTGGTGTTTGCATTCAAGAAGGTGAATGGGTACAGTCGGAAACGAGCATGGGAAAGATTCGATATAGGTAACGTTAAATACAATTGTTTACATTGTATAAAGCTATAATATCTCTGAAAATTTGGAATACTGGAAACAAAAATGAAAAACTCATCACTCTGTGCAGTCTGACCAGGCTGTTGTTTTACCAGCAAGCACTGAGAATAGTCGAGCATGCTGTTCCACTGACAGCTCTTTTGTATTTGACTGTTTGAAGAATAGTGTTACTTTCTTAATATCTTTGTATTGGCCTAGCACTTGGTTTAACATTTTGCTTGCAACTTTATATGTCATCAGCTATAAAAGGTATATTCACCTACAAGTTCACACATCATGTCTCTGAGATCAATTTTGTGTGTTTCTGTTCAGGGCTTGATGCTGGTAGATGTACTCAGGTGCCGGTTTGTGTCAGAAATAATGCACTTTAGAGGCACCTAAGTTTTCCCACCATCATTTAACAAGGAAAAAAAATTAAAATCCATTTGTCCCCTCTTCTCTCCCCCCATATATAAAAACAAAAGAAAAACTTACAAACAAACAAAAATCTCAAACAGTTAAAGCTCTTTGTAACATAAGGAATGCCTGTTTCAATTTTTCATGCATGGTAAAAAAAATCTTTCAAACAAATGAAAATATTCTTTTAAAACTTCACGTATGTTTTCTGTATTGAAATTATAGGTAATTATTCAAGATCCCTGTCTCCTAGTGTGTGAATTTTGAATGAAATACAGCCCCTTCATTAACTTAAAGAAATTCCCTGTTAAAGTTTGATTTGCAAGATTAATCTGAAGCTATGATAGGTTTTTAAATTAAATATATTTCTATTATAGAAGTATAATTCTTGTCAGGTGTAAAAGTATAATTTTCTTTTCAACAAAACATGTAAAAGATTAGAAATAAAATGTCCGCTGGCCTTTAACATCAGAAGTCTTTCATGTGCAGCCAGGTTACAGAATGTCGATGGTTCTACTCAGGTGGCCGCCTGACCACCTTAAATAATACACTAACAGGCACCTGAGGGCTAATTTGACCAAAACAAGCTAGAATCTCACCATATAACCTGTTATTCACAGTGCCTATGACTAGGGGTGTCAAGGTTAGAAAAAATGCTAACTGTTTAAACAGTGACGTAATAACTGTGTTAAACACTTAACTGACCGTATTAAAAAAATCCTTAGATTTTCAACATTAATGTTGTTTCTTTATGACAAGATATGCCATTTTGTTGTAATCAAAATAATTACAATACATATCCAAATATGGAGTACCTATTTTCCGCTAGGGTCGTACCGTATTCTGCCAGATCGGAAAAAATACATTATTGAGTACAACTAAAATACAAACAATTGTCATATGTTGTCATAAAATACTTAGGTCATATTTAGAATCAATTTAAAACTTTTCCGCCCCTTTTTCAAATATTAACCTTTTACTGGTTATTGAATTTTCTTATTTTAAAGGTATTGGTCGGTTTTCAGCTAAAGTGGGTTTTTAGCTGAAAATGGACCATAACCTTTAAAACAGATAAACATGACATCCCTCCCTATGAAGTAACCTTTAATGTACTGGATATCTTAAAAGAATCTATCCAGTTTACGTTGTTGTAACTACTGATTATCAATTTTAGGGATATCAAGATAAAAAATTAAAGTTGGCCAGTCTACAGTATAGAGCCTGGTCAGACTACATGGATGTGTAGGCTGGTCTGGCTCTATACTGGTGGCAAAGGTTAGTCACTTTCGGTTTCAGCAGGTTAAAAGAATTTACAGGAATGTTTTAATTATTCAAATTGATTTCAGGTGTAAGACGGACAAAAGAAGAGCTACAGATCATGCATAATGACTTAGTTAACTGATGTGGAGTCCATGTATGTCATTATGCATGATCTGTCAAGGACATACAATGATATACATATATCATGTGAGTGGATTTCAAAAAGAACGGAATTCATAGATTTTGTCTCTTGTTGCCATGGTAACCATATATTTAAATCTAAATTTTCACTGCACAATGACCTGTGAAACTGTATGATTGATTGTGATTTAAAAATACGTTTTTGATATTGTTAAATTGAAATGTGAGGTATAATTAATAATTTCAAGTTTTTGTTTATGGTCAATAATTTTCATTTCTGAGATTGAAACTTGATTATGTGGATACATGAGCCACACCCATTTTCATGTCAAAATGTCAATGTGAACACATTTATTCAAGTTTTCTATTTATTTAGAAAAGTTTAAGTTATTATCCAGTACTGAGAAAAGGGGAGCACACTAATCCTCTGACAGCTCTTGTTAAGTTCTGGTATGTTGGTAAACCAAACTGTAAAAGTTATATGACCAAGTTTATATTGTTGTGATCTTATATAACCCAGCTTGATAGGCAAAGGTTATATTGGTTATTATGTAAAGTTCTGGTATTTTGGTAGACCAAACTATAAAAATTATATGACCCAGTTTATATTGTTGTAAACTAACTTATATAACCCAACCTACTAGGCAAGGGTTATATAGCAAACAACCATTTAGTCATGACCATATAACCATATAAGCAGTAAAAAAATCTTGATGAAAAATTATAATATAGCACAATTTAAAATTTATTTATTCATTTACATTAGTCTTGTATATAGATAATATAAGTGTTATAGTTATCCAATGAAAACAGACATTACAAACATGCACTATTATAATTGTTAATACATGTATATTGTTTGAAGAGAATAACCCATGATGCAGTGGTCGTTTTATTTTTCTTCTGCAAGAGCTTGAAGCAAGTTTCCTGTATATTTTTGTTACAATACTAATTAAAATATTTGTAGAATATGTTGATAATTTATTTGATTATTTTGGATCTGAGATTTCCTTAATTACCGCCTGCTTGAGAATATTCATTAATGTTGATTAAATGCTTTAAATAATTTTTTGATTTCTGCTGAACTACTGAAGCTTTAAATTATTCTTAATCATTAATAGTGTTTTTTTTTTTTTGAGAAATTTATTAGCTTACTGGAGCACATAGCACTCAAACTTTTGATCTTATATTGTAGAATCATGCTAACAGTTATGTGCCCTTGAGGTAAAAGATTGATACAATACAGTTTTTGATTGTGTGAGTAAGGAAAGGCCATGCTTGCCTTTTTTAGCACATCTGAGATAGCTCAGGGTGAGCTTTTAGGATCGTTGAATGTCCGTCGTCCATCCACATCAGTTCGTTAACACTCAAGCAATCACATCTTTGCCTCAATCATTATCAAACTTTGTCAGGATGCTTGTCTAGTTAATGGCTTGGATAAGATTGAACATGGGTTCACTAGGTCAAACTAGGTCACAGCAGCTAAAAATAGAAAAACCTTGTTAACACTCAAGTGGTCACATTTTTGACTCAATTGTCATCAAACTTGGTGAGGATGCTTGTCTAGGTATTTACTAGGATGAGTTTGAACATGGGTCATCTCGGATAAAAAAACTAGGTCACAGGAGCTAAAAATAGAAAAATCTTGTTATAGCACTCTAGTGGATACTGTTTTAATTCAAATATCCTGGAAATTAGTCTGAAAGTTTTTTTTATGATTTCTAGGTTAACATTGAATATGGGTCATCTGGGGTCAAAAACTAGGTCACACTGCTCAAATATGAAAAATCCTTGTTAACACTCTAGTGGTCACATTTTTGACTCACCTGTCATGAAACCTGGTTAAAATGCTTGTCTAGGTAATTGTTCAGATGAGTTTGATGGGTCAGGTGAGCGATCTAGGGCCATCTTGGCCCTCTTGTTGTTCTTTATTTCCACTGATAAAGAGGTAATAATTTAATTATTCAGATGTCAAAAGTTACTGGTATGTAAAATGCATTCTTTCATTCATGATATGATGAAACCTTTATTTGTGCCTAGATTATTATTACAACTTTACATCGTTAAATATCTCATATTTTGAATAGTTGGTTATGATCAGATGTGCAATGGATATACTGAATATACCTAGAGATAATTTTTAGCAAATAATTTGCAAATTGTAATAAAAAATCAAAGTAGATAAATGAAAGTCAATTGTATATTTATATGAATGTGTATATAAAAGTGACAGTGATAAATGGATGACTGGTGCATTTTTCAACTTTGACATTCCATATTTTGATATTATATAAATATGCAAACAAATCAGTTTTTCACCTGTATATTCATCAAAATAGTTTCTTTTAGATATTTATATCTAATTTGGCAGCTTAAATAAAATGTCATCTTTTACTAGTTAAATATCATCTTTTACTAGATGACCCCTATTGATTTTTGAGGTCAAGGTGACTGTAGCCTTGACTGCTAAAAGCTTGTTCAACCAATAAAAAGCGAAGCTATTATGAGGGTTGTTCATTACTAGAAGATCCCTATTGATTTTAGAGGTCAAAGGTCAAGGTCAAAGTTATACTGACTGTAAATTCTTTGTCTTATCAATAACTTGAGAAGTAATAAACATAAGTTTATATAATAAACATGAAATTTTATAGAGACATTGCCATGGCCTGTAGGCGACACCGTTTGATTTTGAGTTCAACAGGTCAAGGTCACAGTGTGACCTCGTAGAGTTTTTGAACTTATTTGCTGTAATACCATTATTATATATATTAAGTATTGATAAAATGCTTGACTTTCCTAAGACAGCATAATTATGTAATTGTGCCTCTGCTACAGCAAATGAATTAGGGATACACTTTACTTTAATTGGAATCAATGTATTTGAAAATATGTGTGAAATAAATGCGTTATGTTAGATTATGACTTAAATTGTAACAATTTTTTTCTAATAAAAATTCTCAAAACATTACGTATGTTTGTGCTATGATGCCCTTTGGATTGATAGATCCAAAAATATAGTCAATTTTATGCCCCCCCCCCCCCCTTGGAAGAAAATGGGGAATATTGTTTTGCTAATGTTTTTTGGTCCACTACCAAGTTTGTTTAAATCATGGCACAATAAAATTCCTCCGCCCATAGGGCCACTTGGTTTGGCAAAGTCGTAGAGGAAAATTTTTTAAATCATTTTTTAAAGTGAAACCCCAGAACTTTTGAGTGTACTGTAAAGTATTGTCTAATGGACCTCTATTGATCGTGTTCAAATTAAGACAGTGGGGGTAAAACTGGCTTGTTTCGGGTCATTTGATCTTAAAAAAATTCATACAGAATGCTCCTTTATAAAAATCGTTTTGTTTATAACTGCAAGCTCTAGAGCTAAGATATTTTGTGTAGCATTGCATGGTAGACCACTAACCAAGTGTGTACAAAATCTACCTCCTGTGTCGAAAATGCCCCGTCACGTCCTGGACTTGATCTTACATAGACTCATATAGGTAAACCTTTAAAAGTCCTGTAATGTAAATATGCACAGTTATGTAGTGTTTGACAAAGTCTAATTAAGTTACACTAGAAAAAAAACACATTTAAATTTTCTTTTATAAACTTGAACCCTTAGAACTGAGCACTGGTGTTGGTAGTTTTCACTGTAAGCCACAGTACAGTTCAGCCAACGCATCGTTCTTAGGCAGGCTGACAAGCAGTTTACCAGTTCTAATTGGCTTCATTGTTGCAAGGAACTGATAACTTCTGTACACACCAGAACAGAGGTACAGTGCGAATGACTGTTGAAAGGATTTCATGACCAGTCACAACGAAAGTGACCTGCATCTTCCGGGAATCGAACTCGCATCGCCCGATTCACAGTTTTAAGCTAACCGGACGCTACAACTTGGATAAATAGCATAACTTACACAGTTACCAAATTTTTAGCATATACAGCATGTCTGAAAGGTGAATTCTGCATTTTGTCTGATAACAAATTTTATTTGGCCAAAGATTTAATCTTTTTACCTTCCTGTACGAAATTTTGGCACGGATTCTGGGCGGAATTGGCACGGAATTGGCACGGAATCAAGTGATTTTGGGGGCGGACCAGGGGACGGAAACGCAAAATCCGTGACCCATTCTGTCCTCACAAAGAAAAAATATTTTGTTCACTTTTTCTGGGCGGAAAAAACTAGAAAATTCCCCGGCTGGAATTTTATTTTGAGGCAGAAAATTTAATATCTTAAAAACATTTCATCTTGGACAGAATTTTCAAACCTTTGAAATTTTTTTTGGTAAAGGAAAGTCCTTCAACTACGGGCGGAATTTCTATACTTAAACATTTTTTTCTTGAAACAGAAATTTCACATATAAGCATGTCCAAATCCATAATTTGTAACTCCTGTTTTTTGCACTTGCAAGACATTGAAATTTTACCTACTGTTAACTTAATTTTTTTTTGCTGAACCAATAATTTTCAGGTGTAATTTTTAAGGAATTGATATATTATTTTTTTAGACATTAAAATAGGCCTTCCCTTTTAGTATAAAAAATGTGGCAATTAATAATATATTGTCAGACTAATTTATATTTTTTGGTAAACTGAAAAACAAACTGTAATAAATCTTAAAGTGTAGAAAATTTGAAAACATTCACCTCCAAAATGCTTAACTTTTTTATAATATAAAGATTTTTTCATAACAGCTTGTATTATAATACATTTACTGTATTATGAATTTTAAATATGATTTTAGGACATCATCTAAAAGCAACATTAAAAAATAAGAATGCTTTTTAAATTTGAATATACTAAATAGAATATAGGGCAGTCACATAGGGACAAGATTATGTGTGCTTGCCATTTTAAATTTTCTAAAGAAATTCATGATTTTGTTATAAAAAAATATAAACAAAACAAAACAGTCGCATGAAATAATCTCATATATAATGCCTTTTAAAATCTATTTAAAATTGATCAACCAATATGCCCAATAAAATTGCTTTTATTAACCGTAGGTAAATAAATACTACAATGTATATTCTCACTGAGATTATATCAACCCAGATTTTTTACACTACACAGATATCAAGAGCTCTGATAAAACTCTACTGACGCAGCAGTTTCCCCATCATCTACACTGACTGGTCATTCCAACAGATCAGGCTGTTCCATGTAATTATTTTGGGGAGAGATAACATTATAAATTGCATATGTAGAATTTGTCTAGGGCATATTGCAAATTTTTTTTGTACAAAAATTTGTAATTGTTTTTTTAAAATTTAAAATATATATCTATTTGTTATTTGATTTTTTTTTTTTACATTCAATGAAATGAAATTAAGATGATGAGTAAAAATTAACCCTGTTTTAACATAATGATGGACCAGTCCCATTATACAGTAAACTGTTTGTGAATTTTGAATTCAAGATATCTGGGTCAGCAAAAAGAGTGGAGGATGTACTTGATATTTTAACAATTTTGGAGTAAAGTTTTGTTTAAGATCTCAAAGTGTTATAAGTAATTGGTATGATAACATGGGACAAGAAGAATGTTATAACAAATAATCAGGTAATTATTAACTTTTAGTTACATTAATTTTATATGACGACTATCAATACTAAGAAGCCAACTAAAAATTTGTAACAAGAGGTCATTGTTGTTTTAGTATTTTTCAAACTTCATACATTTGGTTTTTTTTTCTGATAAT